TTATGGATCTGGTCAGCTGGTCTCTCAATGCAATTGATCAAATTTTCTCCACAGGAAGACTGGGCAAAGGAGAGTCTGCTTGTCCTGCAGGGACATACCCGTCAGGATACATTTTGGACTCGTGGGATGTTTACAAAAATTTTTGTCTGTCCATGTTATCCCTGGAAGATGCGGAGGATCTGTATTTATTTGGATTCATAAGATTTCTGCTGTTTGGAGTTGGTGGATACCTGGCTTATTGACAAATTCAGAAGATGTTGGCAGTCGTTTTGGCCCTTGTCAAGCTGCCTGATCAATATTATGGATTTGACTGACTAGCAAATACTCAGACTAACATGCTGTGGGACCAGAGCCGTAAGCTGGATGCGAATCTTACTGAGATTCGCAAACCAGCTGCAGGCCCTGGATCTCACCAGTGAGATGGAATCAACATTTTGGAGAAGTTGCTAGTTCCGACCGGCGGGAACGGCCATACTAATTTGGATGATTGAAATTAACAGAGATGTACCGGTGAGACTGTAGGGCAGATAGAAATTAAAAGTCTACCCAATCTAAAGAATATTGTCTCCATATGAACTGGCTCCTCTGTGTTGGCCTTGGCTGGCTCAGTTCTCCTGGTTTACATATCATCTGCAACTGATATGTAAACAAGATGCTCTTTCACACCTCGTTCCCTTCCTGAAGACATCCTTGCAAATGTGGAGCAGATTGCTCCCAAGAACTTGCTCAGTAAGACCATAGTATCAGAGACTATTGCCTGGGAGAGTTGGCTGAATGGGGTTCATGGACTTCCTGCACACATATCTCAAGGCTACAGATACACACTTCCTGATTTCACTGCCTTTTGCTGGCTGCATTTCTGAATGTTTGTATTTCTATAATCTTTTGCAGTGTTGTAGTGCTTTTTATTTATTGTCAGGTGGAGGGAGTCAGAGAAAGCCGTCTGTGATAGCAGTGCATGCATATTGTAACCCAAGTGAAATGTTGAGTTCCATTTTCTGGTTCGCTACTATTGCCCTCCAAAATCTCGCGGTAGTTTGATTATATAACTGCAATTCTCGCGAGATTTACTAAGCAGCCAATCATTGTTGAGCGTCTGAGTCACATGTACCACCGTCAGCTCATTTGTTGGGTATATTAGCTGGAGCAAAAAGCATGGAGGATTAGAACAAGTTTGGGAGAGCAGAGCTGCAGGTCGGTTAAGCGCAACATTCTGTTTTTCTTTAATCTTGTATGATGCTGATAAAATTGTACTAACTTTAGGAGTCTCCGGTCGTAAGCTGAGGGATAAGAGAAACACAAAACCGCTTGTATGCCTTATGAACTGCGGAATTGGTGAGTCATTTTATGAAGACTTGGCGTTAGTTGATATCAATTCGGATGCTCTATTGCGACTCTGAACAAACAAATTGGAGAACAATGAGATGCCTTAAATATTAAAAGTATTTGCTTATCTAGATGATTTTTGCATTGTTTGTTGTTTGTATGGAGCATATTTATTGACTTTTTATGAATAAGATTTATCTAGAAAATTTGTACTTGGAAATGCATTGATTAGGATTATTCATAGTGCAATGAGTGCCGATCATATTTTTTGTGTGCACACTGGAATGTTTGATTATATATATATTTGAGACTGGTCCTGCTTTATTGTACAGGCCAGGTTCGATGGCGAGCTGAAGAATCAGGTCCAAGAGCCTAAAGGAATTCACCTGTGGTGTTAAGATTTGGTTTTCCCACCAGGCTGGTGGGAGGCTTCCTGCAGCCCATGAACAAAGTTGTTCCCACTCTGATCTGACTTTTGTCAGCATATGAACTGCAACAGGCGCTCTAAACCCACCTGACCCTGTTGAACCGCCTCAGTTCAGGGGGGTTTTATGAACTGAATGGTGTGGCTTGTTACTGGAACTGTGGAACTGATTTGTTTTTTTTATTTGTTAATTTAATTTGTTTTCTTTGTGTATTATTTCCTTTTATTTTAATATGGCCATTTAAATGTTTTTTTTCCTTTCTTATTGTAATGTAAATAATTAATCACTGTGAATACAAGGCACTCACATCTGCAACTTTTAGTTTGTCTACTTCTTCCTGAGCCGTATCTAGATTTCTAAGAACTAGCCCATTGACTTTGTTGGTGTAACCCGTAATTAGTCAGTTAGCCAGACTTTTATTTTTGCGGGCCCACTTCCTGTTTTGCCCTAAACTGGCCAACTTTTTTAAAGCCCCGCCTCCAGCGCAGTAAAAGAACATCACCTGTTCCACTGTGATTGTGGCTGGCTGTTTGGCGTCTTGCTGTTTTGCATCCTGACAATTTACCCAAAATTCCTGAAACTACTGATTTTGATCTATTGAATTGTTGGCGGTGGTTACCTGGGCCGTCACCGTGATTATCACAGCTGATCGCAGTCTAATACGGCACTCTCTGCTCAAAGGTCGGGTTTTTTTATTTTTTATGATGGATCAGATCTTCTTCTGAACCCAAGGATGGCGAGCTAGGAAACAAGGAAAAGAACTCTATGATCTTTGAATTTAATTGTTTTGAATTAACCTGTCTCTCACTGTGTATTTGTAGTTTGTTTGTTGTTTGTTTCCCCCAAATCACTAATATATATACCTCAAAACTGAAACCATTGCTTCGTGTCTGCATTCACACCTCAGGCTCCTTAACGAACCATCTTCTGATGCTGCCTATGTAGCTGCCTAGCCCATAACTGTTACATTCTGTGACGAGCTAGCCAGGAGTCTGATGCTGTGAATGTATTTTGTTTTTGTGTTGGAACATGGATTTCTTTGAAGGAATTGGTATCAATGTTGCTCATTCTGTCATCATTAGTGGTGTAACGAACACTGAAGCAGATGATGAGATCATCAATTATTTACGCAGCTATGGTGACGTTAAGGTTTTTACTGTTACTGCACGTGAGAGTCCATTTTATAGAAAACCTGGCCGTTGAATTCATTAATTCTGCAGATTTGGAAAAGCTAAAATCACTTTTACCATATGTTTACCAATCCGAGGCTGCAGAAGATGTTATATTTGTTGTTAAATTACTTTCAAGAGAGTGCCTTGCCACAACCACAGTGGACACAACCCCAGCCCCTGATTACCTTCATGAACTGAAACGCATTTCCCAGCAGAGTGGACAGTCATTTGATGATGTTTTGAGAGGAGCTTTTGAACAAATAAGTGCTCAGTTAGGAATAGCAGCTACCGGAGGGGAGCCTGACGAGGCTGATGATGATAGCACAGTTGAAATACTCACGACTGACAGAGAATCCAGTCAGACTCAGCCATTTACTCTTACCTCAAACCAGTCAGCTCAGTCCACCACCGACCAACAAAGACCACAAACTCAAACAATTGCAGCTACAAATGTGGGGCCGAGAATCTCTCTCTCTTGGGGAATGATCTAAACCCTCCTGGGGTCCAAAGGGTTGTAGTTGAACACATTGTGCGCAGAGAGGATGTAAATCTTCAACCTCCATCTTCCTTTAGACTACGTACCTTCTCAGGGAAACTTCCAAAACCTCAGCATGAGGCAGATTATGAATCCTGGAGGTCTCAAATAGAACTTTTAAATGCAGATCCAAGTCTTGCACCTCTACATGTTACAAGGCGCATTTTGGAAGGTTTACTACCTCCAGCTGCTGACCTAGTGAGAGGTTTGGGGCCCAATGCCCTGCCTGCAGAATTTTTGCAAGTACTTGATTCTGCATATGCTACTGTTGAGGACGGAGAAGAGCTGTTTGCAAAATTTTTAAACACGCTTCAGGACCATGGGGAACGACCATCTTCTTATCTGCAGAGACTCCAGTTAGCTCTCAGTACAGTGGTGAAGCGTGGTGGGATTCCGGCAACTGAAATGGACAAATATTTGTTAAAACAATTTTGTAGGGGTTGCTGGGATAATGGCTTGATAAACAAACTTCAACTAGAAAGGAAAAAAGACCAACCACCTTCCTTTTCAGAGTTTTTATTAACGCTTAGAACAGAAGAAGACAGACAGTTGGCAAAAGAGATGTTGATGAAAAAGCATATTCGATCAGTCAAGCACCGTGTTAATGTACAAGCTCATACCACCAGCGCATGCTCATGTGGCCATCTGTCAGACTCAGGTGCTATTGAAGACTTGCGGAAGCAAATGCTAAAGCTGCAGAGTCAAATGTCAGCCCTGTTGTCCAAGGACTCCAACTCTGCTAAACCAGAAAATCAGCAGAAAAAACAGAAACCAAAATCTGGCCAAACCAGTAGTAGGCCAAAGCCCTGGTTCTGCTTTAAGTGTGGACAGGATGGTCACATTGCTCCTAACTGTTCCAGTCAGCCAAATTCCAGCCTGGTTGAAGAAAAACGCTGCCAGCTGAAACAAAAACGGCAGTTCTGGGAGAAAAGTAAACCATCAAACTAGAAGCAGTTCTTACTGAGGGACAAGTCGGAGCTGCAATCAGTGAATGTCCCCACACCAAAGACTCATCTTCATATTTCCCATTACCTAAAGGATTAGTGGTGATCTGGTATTTTGTATTTTTATCTTTTTATTATCTTTTTATTATCTTTTTTATTATCTTTTATGTTCTTTGATAATCATTCATTATTGTTCTATTTTCTATTCATTTATTATTCTATTATTGTTCTTTATAATTTGATCTTTCTTTGTTAGATAAAACTTATTCTGCTCAGAGTATGGTGCAAATTGATCATGCTGCAAGCTCATGCGGATCACGTGAACAGGGCGTGCTTAGCTCTGGTTGACTTGGGTTGGGCTCTGATTGGTCTGCTGGTTCACGCTCTCAGCCCATGATTGGCTCATGGTCAGAGAGCGGCTACCTCTGATTGGATGGCTTGCCTGCAAGGATGGAAATGGCCATTCCCCCTTTGCACGCAGGCATCCCTTTGTTTAAGAGATAAAATATGAAAAAGCCCGCGGTTTTTGTCAGTCTGCTGTGGATCGCGTTCGAATGCCCAGCTACGTTGATGCTGCTGCTTGTCTCTAGGCCGAAGGCTCTCCGGTTTTCACGAGGTAAGCGCTGACAACTTGAATGAATCGAGCATCACGTGTTTAGTCATAGAGTGTTTTGTACTGTATTCTGTGGGGAATAAATCGAGCATATTTGTTCTAGCAGTAACAGTGTTTGATGCATGTTATTTTGCTGTAATCTGTGGGGAAATAAATCGAGCACATTTAATTCTAGCAGAAACAGCGTTTGGTTTCGTTATTGCCGCCGATCTCCTTCGACCCTGATTTAAAATTTCATAAAACATTTTGGCGTCACGAACAGGATTTTAAAGGGGACTGCGGCAAATATGTTTAACATGTTTAAGAGAAAGAATAAAAATAAGAGTAAGTATGACGTTGGGAAAAAAGTTGAAATAATCCCTGGCTGGGATGAGCCTCACCAAGATATAGCGCAGTGTTTGCGCGAGGGGGGAGGGCGACCCGAGCCGTGGGGAGATGTGCTGCGGGAAGCTGAGCCGCCGGAGTTGTTAGCTGTTTTGCAAAACATCGAGGTGGAGGCCAAAAGCCCTGTTGCCGGATTGCAAAGGCGTATGTGGGCTTGCGCAACCGCTTGGAAAAAGCAGCAAGAGATTAATAAAGAAGCACAGGCGCAGCAGTTGAAAGACAGACAGGCCTTAGCCGATGCATTAGCCGCAGAATCGTCACATAAGCAACATGTGCAGCTGTTAAATAACCGGTTACAGCAAATGACTGAGTTAGCTGAGAGAACTGTGGTTCAGGTAGCTGCACTGAAGAAGCAACAGAAACTTAGAAGAAAGCCCCGGCAGCCTTCGCCAAAAAATGTTCGTGCGTTTGTTGCTGGTTTAACTGCAGAATGGGACCCAGAGAAATGGGATGGAAATATTTCGGGAGATGAGACAGATTATATTTGGGAGGAGGGGGAAGATGCTTGTGGGGGAACACCGAACACCCCCCTTCGCCCTCTGCTGGACCTGAAACCTGTTCGTCGCAGGAACAACGACACCTACCGGATGTGCGGCAACAGCGCAGGGACAATGCGGGGCAGCTTGTAGTGGACGGTCAGGGAAATCCAGTGTATGACATGGTGGCGGCTCCTCAGCCTGATCCCATTTACCGTACCATTGTAGAAGATTACACACAAGAAGAAGTGTCACATTTAACGCGCAGACTGCGGCAGCAGAATGGGGAGCCGACAGATTTGTGGTTAGCACGGATGTTGGATGAAGGGGCCTCACAAGTGGAAATAGATGCAGTTGATGGGATGTCTTTTGCAGGATTGTCTACCGAGGGAACAATAAATTCCAATTATCGCCAAGAGGTAAGACAAATGCCAGATGCAGCATCATTGTTTGTGGTATGGGCAGCTGCCATACAAAACCAATACGCCGCATTTACTGACTGGCCAGAAATAACTGGAAATTGGATCACGCTAAGAGAATGTACACAGCGTTTGACTCGATTGTGTGTGAGAGATGCGTTGGTAGTGGGCATGGCTGATCAATATCAAAGCTTAGCAGTTCCAAAAGCCGTGCGGGATCAGCTGATTCGTACTGCACCCCCCCATTACCGAGCAGCAATGCTAACCGTGATGCTAGGCGATCCAGGTGCCTCCATGTCTGACATTAAGAATCGTATAGGGGAGTTAGGAGCCCTGGGGAATNTATGTAGCTCAAAGCTAAATATTGGTGCTAAATAGCTCCAGTGTTTAAATTAGTTCTAATCTAAATATCTATATTAGAACTAAATATGTAGCTTGCTAACTAAGTATTACAGATCAAACTAAATGTTTAGCTTCAAAGTAAATATTTAGTTTGAGCTAAATATTTTATATTTAATTAAACATTTAGGCTAAAGTTAAACATTTAGTTTAAATATTCACATAAAGCTACATATTTAGTTTGCTACTTAAATGTTTAGTTTGAAACTGTGACATTTATAAGTGAATAAATAATACTTTCAAACTTTCAAAGTAAAATTTACTTTGAAAGTTTAATCCTATTTTTTCCTTTTATAACAGACCAAGTTATTATTAATTTTTGGCAGCGCCTCTCTCCAAGCGGCGGCCGTTGTGCGTGTGCAGGCGGCGCTTCATTCCTTTACAGCTTGTATCGGTGAACTGAAGCGTCCCAGTCGGCGCCCTCTGCTACTTACCTAATTAGCTCTAGGAGCCCCTGCATTATTAACAGACCCCCTAAATCATTCAGAGGGACCCTCGTGTGTGTGTGTGTGTGTGTGTGTGTGTGTGTGTGGGTGTGTGCGTGTGTGCGTGTGTGTGTGTTGTAAGGATCACTGCGATAATGTCCTCCCCTATTCACGACATGTCAGACGTAATTATTCACCCTGGGAAGACACCAGAACAGAAGTAATGGCACCCATCTTGAGCCCAACCCCCCACTGACTGACTGGCAGGGAGGGAAGATGGCCGAAATGTCTGAGGTCACCAGCGAACGCAGAGAAATCACCAGGAATGGACGGATAATGTTTGTTTTGTTGTGTGCGTAAATCTCATCAGCACCAGCAGCGGTGCCATTTTCAGGCCTCATTTGCTTATATTACATGTAAATAAATGGCTTTGGAGGCGTGTTGCTGTGAGCGTGTAGCTACTTTTACTGCCGGGTGACTCACGATTCCACTGAATGAAAAATCTAATTTGGGGGAACAAAACGTGGGTGAATCATGTTCGGTTAGCAGCTGCAAATGGTTTGCTTTTTTTTTATGTCAGTGAGACTCAGAAGTCAACACACATCACTTCCTCCCAGGCAGCCAATAACGGCCAGGCAGGGTGGCAATTCTGTTCTGCCTGGGATAATATTTGGCTACGCTAGCGACCAGCAGGACACATTACGTTTACTGGAAAGAGTCGGTTTCCTGAAGGTCCAAAGTACTTCCTGAATGTTACTTCCTTACCTGCTTTTGCTGCTGGCAAGGAAGTTGCAGCATGGATATTTTGTGAAGATTTAATGACCTTAAAGAAGTCTCTTCAGAGAATTTCACATAAATCACTAATTATGAATATTAATTCTGATAACACTAAAGTAGCTTTAGCTACAAGGAATTTAGCTAAAGCTAACACAAAACACTAAATCAATATGGGATATAGCAAAAGCTAACACTAAAGCATTACACCAACATAGACTTACCAAAAGCTAATGCTAAAGCGCATGTAAATTAGCAGAAAACAGAGCTATACTTTTGCAGGTCCAGTATACCTGCAGGGATTTTAGCTAAAGCTAACGCTAAAGAGTTACAACCATGTTGAATTTTGCTAAAGTTAACGCAAAGGATTAAATCAACATGGCTATACCAAAAGCTAATGCTAAACCATGATGCCTACAAGGAATGTAGCAAAAGCTAATGCTAAAGCGCTACTGCAACATGTAATTTAGGAAAAGCCAGAGCTATACTTTTGCTGGTGAAGCACCAACATGAACATTAGCAAACGTTTGAGCTAAACTTTTGCTTGTCTAACATGGACATTAGCAAAAGCTAATGCTAAAGCACAATACCAACATCAAATTTAGCAAAAACACTAATTTACAACAACATGGACTTTAGCAAATGTTAGAGCTTACTTTCACTGGTCCAGTATGTCAACATTGAATTTAGCTGAAGCTAATGCTAAAGCGGTAAATTCAACCATGTTATATCCACCATCTGTCAATGAGAAAATATGTTTCAACATGAAATGTCGCTGTTTAAGACTTCAGTGAAGGTGAAATGACAGAGAACATGCATCCTGTGTTTTTAGCTCACTTAGCTCAAGCTACTTTGTTGCAGAGCTTTTCTCTGTTTTCAGTTTTTACAGGGAACAAAGTGGATTACAGACTTTTTATTGCAAGATGGGAAGAGAAATGTAATGGGAAAAAGAATTAGACCAGATAAAACTCAGGCACGTCGTTAATCTGCCCTGCCCCTCCTCTCTCTGTTTCAATTAAGAAAATGACTTTTTAGTTCAATTAACAATAATTCACGCTTAACTGAATAAAGTTTATTACACAATCAGGGCAGCAGCAGCGTAATGGAGGGGGACAGGAATGCCCCTCGCTGCAGAGCGCCGGCGTGCGGTCTGAGCGTTGATGACATCACGCAGTCAGATGGAGGAACCGTCATGCTGCAGCGCAGAAAAGTAAACGCTAGCAGTCAGAAAGCTTCCATATAAGGTAAAACTGAGAAACTGCTGTGTCAGCAGAACAAAACTTAATTCAAATTGTCTGGTTTAGGTTTTATATGACCAAATTAAGGTTTCGACTTGTAAACTAAGAAAAGTAAAAAATAAACGGCAACAATTTTGGCTAATTAGCCGGTTATAAGAAGACAAGTGGGATTCATTTTTAAAAGTTTAAATGTTTTCAACAGGTATATTCAGTTATATAGTTTAAAACTAAATATTTAGCCTCAAACTAGATGAATAACTCAAAAAAATATTTAGCTATATATTTAGTTTCTAAACTAAATATTTAGCTTTCTGACCAAATACTATCTTGGAACTCAGTGTTTAGTTTGCTGAAGAACTAAATAGACTCAACCAATATTTAGCTGCCTAACTTAACCTGTCTGTCACGAGAGGACCCAAATTTGGGTCCTCTCGTGACAGAGGTGTCAAACTCCAGTCCTCAAGGGCCTCTGTCCTGCAAGTTTTAGATGTGCCTCTGCTGCACCACACCTGAAAAGAATAATTAGGTCATTAGCAAGGCTCAGGAGAACCGATCTACACAGGGAGGAGGTAATTAAGCCATTTCATTTCACTGTTTTTTACCTGTGGCACATCTAAACACTGCAGGACAGCGGCCCTTGAGGACTGGAGTTTGACACCCCTGTCATTGTGAATGACAACCTGTGAACAACAGGTTAAGAAGCTAACCAAACAGCTGCTTATTTAGTTAGCTTGCTTCCTAACTATGTAACTTGCTAAATATTTAGTTAGACTCCGGATCAAACTAGATGTTTAACTCACTAAATATTGAGATACACATTTAGTTTATAAATTAAATCTTTAGCTTTCTGACTAAATATTAGCTTGGAGCTAAATGTTTAGTTTGCACCCCAACTAAATGGCCTCAAATTCAATTTTTAACTATATAACTAAATATTTAGTTTGAAAGCTAACTAAACTGCTGCATGTTTGAAAATATGATTTGGATTTTTTTTTTGGTCTTATAAAAGGCTAAATAACCCAAATAGTATATTTTTCTGTGTATGCAGAGCATTGTTTTTCTCCTATCAGTCACTCATTCCTTCATTTTCTAAGGAAACTCGTTAGCTCGCCTGGAGCTAATGAGGACGGAAACATTCCTAGATTCCCACCAGGTTCTGCTCTCTGGTTTGCGTCAGATTTGATCCGTATTTCTCCGTGTTTCTGCTCTTTCCTGCTTCCCGTCTGACTCCAAATATCTGCACAGACCAGAGACGACTCGGCAACTCGAGGCTCGGGTGAGAGAGGAACGAGTCCGGTGGTTGTCTGAGACGAGTTTCTGAATTTGACCCGTTAAAAGTGAGAGGAATGCAGCAGTATGAGTCCAATAGCGAGTAATGGAGATGGATGAGTGGTTGTGTTATTTTCTGGTCGCACGCTGTGACCCCCGATGCATCCGGC